AAATTTATTTTCGTTTGCGCACGTGGGCGTAAAATTCCGCGCGTCATCCGTGCAGCGCGTTAAGAAACCGACCACGAGGAGAGAAGCGCGCCCGCGTCGAGAAGAAATATGTCAGAGGAAAACCGAGATAATGCTCCGGAGAAATAAAAATGTCGGTCCCTCGAACACGCGAATTAGGAACTTCGTGAGGTAGGTGGGATCTGGGAGGAAATAGTCCGAGAAGATTTAGCGCGTAGCAATTTGCGGGACGTTATGTTACTCTCTTCTATAGTAATTGTGACTTCACACGAGAGTTTACGGAAATGTATTGTCTCGGGAAATAGCGATTTCCCATCTCGCCCCCCCCCCCCCTCATCATCCACCGGATAAAATACAAAATCGACGAGAAAGAGAGATCGCGCGTCGATTCTTTCAAGTGTCGAGCGTATACTTGCGAGTAGGGAATGTTAGGTAAATAATTCGCGTTTCGAAGAGCCGCGTATAACCGTGCACGTAATATACGGCGCTGTTTTAATTTTCCGCGATGGCGCAGTCTTTTTCACTTTTATTTCGGGAATCTTCATGCTTTATTTAACGCACACGGACACCCCGGATAATATATCTCGCGCGCGGAAAGAGAAACGAGCTTCGTATCGACGCATAAAGCCGCGAAAGAATTAACTGTCCGCTTCGGTATTAATCGTAAAAGCGAAGCCTCGACGCGCGAGCCGTATATTATACGCTTTCGCCTTTTAACAGCGTAAAAATGTTCGCCGCAATGACACAATACGTTCCCACGAACACGCCTGGGTCTTATCGCGCCAGTTTGCGCATCGAAGCTCAGTCATTAAATTACAATATAGCCGAACTTCCAGCGCGATTCATAAATACGAGGAGAGGCGCGTAAAAAGCACGTTTAAAGCGTTTAATTATGAGCACATCGGTATCCCTCTCGCATCCCCCCTCCCTCCCACCTCCCCGACCGCACGGGCGTTTGAATTTACAGGTTTTGCGTGCGACATAACTCGTCTGGTATGACCAGACGCTTTTAGTGCCGATGAAAAGGAGGACTAGGCCTCACACATGGGCACTTTCGTCCTTTTCCGGTTCTTTTAAACTGCCCACCCCTCCGACAATCTGGGAAAGTAAAACATTTCCCGCCACGCAGAAACGACGATGGTTGACGGAGGGAAGCGGCAATCTTGGTTTACGGCGCATTTACGCGCGCGGTTTATAATATTACGCCGAGCTTGTACAAAAAAGCCCCGGGGATAAAAAAGTGGCGAGAGAGCAAGGGTGGCTGGTAGCGGTAGGGGTTGCAAGGGCATCTGCAGAGGTGGCGCCTGCGACGGCGCGCGAACCAGTGGAAACGGGCGATTGTAGTCGGACGCGTGGGAGTCCGCCGTTATGTCTGACGAAGATGTATTCGCGCGTGACCTCTAAAAATGCTTTTAACTCTTAATTCATTTCGCTAATTTTTCCCCGTCCAGCCGCTCTGTGTTCCCGGGCGCGATTTATTTTGCGCATTTATTTTTCTTCTTATCGAGTTTGACGCATACACTTGGAATCCGTCCTATCCTTGGGATTATACGGGAAGGATTATTTCGCCGGCTGCGATCTCATATTCGCGAAAAGTACGCTTTTCCGAGTCGTATTTAAAAGTTAATTTAATCCTTCCCTCTTATTTCGATTTACACACGCCGGCGTTACCGGCGGAAATGGCGCGCACGACGATAATAGCACGACAGGACGATTTTCAGGTAATGTACATCATCCTTATTTGCGACGGTGGCTTTTTGTCAATTAATCTGGAGTTATCAGGAACGGTGGCAGGGCTTACCCCGTGTTACCAGGGCGGTGGCGTAAAGTGCTGGAGTGTTGGTCATTTGTATAACGCCGGTGGAGTGGGTATGTATACGGGCGTTATCTGCGCACCAGAAGAGGGATGTAGAGAGGTAGCGATGGAACCAAACTAATATTTACTCTTGACTTTCGAGCAAACCAGACGAAGATGTTCATATAAATTACGTCAATATTATCTCCCGAATTGCGGCTTTCATCGATGTGTCGTCGCGCGCGTCTCACGCTTAAAACTCTGTCCGATCGTCTAGCGGATGATCGAGGGTCGCGCGATACGCGCGAGCGAGTTTACAACTTATTTTCCGCGACGTAGCTGCGCTGCTCTTTCTTCCCTTTTTCTTTTTTCACGGCGGAATCGTGCTTACTTATCGCGCACGCGCACTGTATCGTAATACTCGAGACGATCGGCTTTCGAGCGAGAACCTCCAATACGTTACTAAGGGTGGGTGAAGATCGCATGCGAGAACGGCCGGCGAGCCATCATATGCAGTGAGATTGAAAGAGGATACCGCTGGCTTTTGGCTAGGGTATTGTTTATGCGAAACGGTGCTGCCTGGCGAGTTACGATGTCAGCGGGTTGTTCTGGGCAGTTTCGTTTGATAATTCGATAGCCGCCCGCGTTTCGAGCCCCTCGCAATCCTCTCCATGCGCGTCATGGATTTACCCTCGTGGCGCACGCAGGTTCATCCAATTAAATTTATCAGATTGCACGCGCTCGAGGGTCAAAAAGAGGACGATACGCGATGATTGGCAGGCGTTTGTCTTTTTGGGTCACGCGAGGACGTATTTTTTTCACTCACGACACGGGACGCTGCAATGGCATCAAATGGACGGCCGGTATCGTCAAGTTATAATAACGACAGATTGAAATAAATGAGAGGGGAAAAATAAAAAAAAAATTGCTAAATTTAATCCTCCAGAGAGAGAGAGAGAGAGAGAGAAGAAAGCAAGAGGGATAGAGGGAACAGGAATTAAGCGCCGTTTACATCACTCGGTTTTCTTCTGTGTATTAGCGGACTTGCAGTCAGCCAGGCAGCTTCTATTACGAACTTTCCCTTCGGATCAATCCCTGTCAACCGCCAATGAGTCGTCGTTCGGTCTGATGATGATTGATGATGATGGAGAGTATCTAACCGCTCCGAAGGTATACTAACGAGAGAACGATCCGACTATAGACCGGCAGCCATTTGAATGATGTTCCATACGAGAAGCTTGAAGAGTTCACGTAACACGTGTTCAGATAACAGACAAGAAAAATCGGAAATCGTAAAGCCACGACAGGCATTAGAGATGAGATAATAATGAATGTGGCAACGAGGATAATTTTATGGGGCGATACAAATGTAAAGTGGGAAAGAAACGTCTCGATCTTTTTGGAAATTTGATATTCAATCCAGAATGCTTGGGTTACTTTACGCAATACGGAGTAAAAGTTTGGCAAGATGCTGCACTAAGGTAATCGGTCTAGAGTGCCGGATTTTTAGTGGCGTTGTTAAAAAGAGTCTACATAAGTTTATTATTTACTGAAAAATCTCTTTCTATAACTTTGTTTGACTATCTAAGTAATAAATGTTAATTTTGAGCTCGAGTCCCACTCATCGAGTTCCACTCCGCTCGTCATAATTGTGTAATGACGTTTGCGGTCACATCAATTTTCGAATAATGTGCACTTGATAATTCCCCAAGACCAAAATCGTTTGGAAGTTTGGCTTTCGCGCGCGACCCCTATAGCACGTGTCACTGGGTTACGTGACACGCATATTTGAAATAAATTCGATGCGCCGCGGGAGGAGAATGTATGCGAATCGAATTTATCCCACCGCCATTCGCATACGTGAAGTAAATTTATGCGAATATGTGAATCAGACTTAAAGAAAACTCACAACCCGCTTTATAACTTGCGCACGATCGCTCTACAAATTGCATTGTGACTGGCGCTTCGAAAGTTTTAATATTTCGGAGTTAATATATTATATATCATGCCCGAAAATATTCATTTATTTCCTTTTGCACACCTTGTGCGGCGCGTAAGCAGTTATCCAGATGCACAGAAGAAATATGAAACAAAAGGATCGTGTGAAAGTAACAAAAGATTTTTTTTTAGCTTTACAGGTGCAATATATATCTAGTTCCATTTTCCTCGACCATGCTTGAAATGTAGTTATACGTCAAGAGAATTAAAACGTATAAACGCGAACACGAACGCCCGTGATAAAAGTGCATAAGCCTCTAATCCAATTTATCAAAACAAGTTTTACAAATACCGAAACAATCTCTTTTATTGTAAAGTCGATCAATTCTACAGGTGAGCCAATCAAATTGTGTTATCGATTAAATACAAACCAGCTTTCGTTCTCTCTCCCTCTCCCTTTTTTTATTATCTTTTATAGCCACATGTCGAGGAAAATTTTGCGAATAAAAACTACGTACGGACGGGCGCGCGTTCTCGATAAAAGACACGTCATTTGCCGCATTCGTGTAATGTCTTTTGCCATTATGAAGACGGGCGGTTGCTAAAGTACGACGGATTATTCTTCGTTGCGCATGACGAGCAAAGGGCGGACGGCGAAGGGTAAGGGGGGGTTGAAGGTGGGCAGAAATTCTATGGAGGTACAAACGAGCATATACAATGAAGCAAAGTGCATAGCGATGTTCTATAAGATATTCCACCGAAACGTCGAAGAGCGTATTATGCTTAAGAAATGAAGCTGAGTTTGCTCGCTTGGCGCCAGTTCGCTACTTGCCAGTTATAATGCACTTGGATTCTGGTATCTTGTAAGTAGTACATCCACCGGCGGAGTCGCTCGTAGCAGATTCGGAGTTGTGCTCTCGCGGGAGACGTCGGTGAGCGCTGGTTTCCTCTGTCCAGAATTCGCATGCAAGTTTCACGGAAGATAGAACACGCTCTATGCCGCTCTGCGACGAACCGCGCCGGGTCGACGATACAGGCGATGATTAAATCGCAAACACGCAACGAGAGCGGGCGTGCTCTTTTCAAATCGTATTTATCGTCGTCTCGCTACACGCGATCGAGTAAGAAATTTATTCGTTCCTCCGCACGCGCGTGCCTCCTCTCGTTGTGCAGTTGTACAGCGCAGAAATGATGCTTGTACTCTCTCTTTCTCCTAATCTCTCCTTCTCTCTCTCTCTCTTTCTTTTAGCTCCAACACACGCGCGCGAAACATCCAAGGAAGGTGCGCAGCGACGTATAAACGACGCCAATAATGACCCGGCGGAAGATTTGCCCGTTTTCGAGGCGACAGCAGCGAACGTCAGTGCGTTCGTAGGGCGGACCGCGTATCTGCCGTGCCGCGTGAGAAACTTGGGCGACAAAGTAGTAAGTCTCTTCACATATCTCTTACTTATTCCGCTCTCCCGTGACTCGTCGCGAACGTCGAATTAATCGTCAGCGAAACAACTTTCCATAAGTGTCAAAGTTTCGGTGTCGGATTTAAGCGACAACAAACAAACGAAACGCGTTTCGATCGAAGAACCCGGGTTCGCAAGTCGATAGATTAGACGTGATATTTTCTTAATATCATGTCAATGGTACGTGGTCGATATCTAGCTATATGATATGTAGAAAGAATGATTTCACGATGTGTCTTCACAACAGCAATAAACTTAACGGCTGCATCAATGACGACGGTATTTTATTCTGATGAAATGAAACAACGTGTATGTGACAGTTGACACTTTGCTGACTTTATGTCTAGTAACACAGGCCATCTTACACAGCTCTCAGCTTTTACCATCCGTATTAAAAGCTATACTCTCTAAAGATGTTACGAGATTGCCAATAAAAATTCAACGCCAGGACTGTTGTCTGGCTCGCGGACCTTCCAGCAGCAATGGCGGAGTGCGCACAAAGTATGCAAATGAAATCATGAACTTTGTCGCAGCAATTCAACTCTGCTCTTCGCGCGTGGAATTATACGATTTAGTGCAGGTGATAAAATATTAATTGAAGATTACAGGTTTAAGGGCACGCCTGTATTATTCGCGTGTATTTAGTTGCAAAAAGTTTTTTCTCTCACCACTGAATCTACAAAATAATAATAAAAATGGAATTTATGAAAGACACGACTTTTCGTCGATGACCGCTGTTATCGCGCAATGTATAATTTTATAATTAAACGTTTCAATTCATAAAAAGGATTAAATTCTCGCGTGCATGCTTATGAAATTATTTAAATTGTTAAAATAATGTAACATTAAAGTATGCAGATACTACGAGTGCGGTATTAAATGAAGTATGTATTTTTAATGCGTCCGTTCGAAGGAATGGGGGTACCGCGTGGTTTGCAATAAACGAAACTATTTGAAATGCGCGGATTTCATTTATCAATATCCATAATACATATCGGCCTTGAACAATTAACGAATATCACGAGCTGGCGTTCGCGCGCGAATGTGTATGTATATCGATATTAATTGCAAACAAGCACCGGGCCAACGCTCGACGGCGATTAATCTGAAAATTTACCGGAGACGGTTTCGATTCAAACAGGTTGCCTCACGACGCTAACAACGTTATAGCCCCCCCCAACGCTCTTATCTATACAAGGGAGCCTGTGTAATTAATACAGCGGCATGACAAATTGTCGCTTCCGTAATAGCAGCCCGCCAATAAATATCGCGGCCGCGATTAGAGCGTTCCCCACACGTAAATGTGGAGACACAGGGGTGGCCGCGTCATAGCGCGCAGGAGATGGCGTGTCTGCGACGATCTATCACGGGGACACAGACATCGGTGTTTCCTTCGAAGACGAAATCTCTCCGATGCGTATCTCGCGGCGTTGACTAAGCGCGGCATAGATTTAACGAAGACGTATGATCGCCTTAGCCGGAGCTTTTCTTCAGCGATGCGTCTCTAGCTCGCGCCTTGCTTCTCTCTCTCTCTCTCTCTCTGTGCCTCCTTCGGCTACCCCGTTGTTCCAGCTGCAGGCATTTGCCGTATCGCGAACATTTTCCACGCGAATTTTAATGAAATATCGCCGACCTGAATTCGTCGATGCGAGTCGCTTTATGTACTCAACCATTCAAATTGATGCGTTCGGATTTACGACTGTTCCTTTGTTTGCGATAGCTCTTTCTCTCACTTTCTCTCTCTCTCTCTCTCTCTCTCTCTCACACACACACACACATACACTCTTTCTTTCTCTCTCTCTCTCTTTCACCTTCTCGTAATTCTCAGCGTACCGAATTATTCTCAGGAGAAGGCTAGAAAATTAAGTGGCGACCTATTTAAAACGACATAAAGCTCGGTAAGTTGAGCAACTAATAAAAATATTAATCTGAAACGTCTAGAGAGAGAGAGAGAGAGAGAGAGAAAGCAAAGTGCGATCATACGGCGGAAGTAAAGAGCGAGTGGAAAACTCGCGAATTCACAGGAATGCAAAGGGAAAACTAGAAATTCCTAAAGCATTTACATCGAAGTACGAACACTTTATAACTTGCCTTCCCAAATTCTTCGCTTCGTGGAACACGTGCAAATAGAATCTTTCGGAAATTCTTGCGTCCGCGGCGAGAAGCTGCGGTTCTGGCTGGTCGATCTTGCGAGGCGCGCTTCCGCGGTAACAAGAAGGGAGGACGCGAAAGAAGAAAAATCGCGGGATGATCGAAGCGTGCATAAGAATTCGCGAATGACTCAACCGCGATTCGCTCGGCGGAAGGCGATGCCGCGCAATCACCTCCTCGCGAAGAACACGTCTCATCCATGCTCGCATCCAGTATTTGTCGGTCGTACTTCATCCGCAGACACCCGTTAGATTAAAGGGCACTTGGCGCCAACCGGGAATCATTCCTGGCAAGCGAACGTCGCGCTGTTCGCAACGCATTTCTCCCTACGAACGCAATTTTTCGACACGCCCGTCCAATTTTCGCGACCCACTTTCTCGCTTTTCCGAATTTTCCCTTCCGCTTTGGACGGCTTTCTTTCTCGTTCTACACGGGCTTTATTGTTATCGAGCGACCGGCGGTAAGCGTATGCAACTGGTGGATGGATGCGGTTTTTGTAGCAGGGCTTCGTCTAGTTTTTTCACCCTCGTTCGAGAAAAGAAACATCCGGAATTGATGAGTGTAATTGTCCGCCCGCCGACGCTTTTACGACACTTGATTTATGTTCCGATAAAACGGATGTTAACGCGACTGGTTCGTGGCGGTTCTTTTTTCCCCCCGTTTTGTCGATATAACACGAAAGGGCCTATATGTGTTATTAATCATTCAAAAATTCATTGAAAACGGCATAACATTTCTGAATTGTTCACTAGTCATTTTAAAGTCGAAATTTTACCTCTATATGTGTTTTAATGATATTTTACTGCCATTTTGGCCATGATGATATAAATTTTCGTTTTTACTATTTTTACCATCAACATAAGTTTCGAATATTGATATGAATTTAATAATCGAAATATCGGGAGCGTTTATAGTTTCAAGTTAAAATTAAATTTGTAGAGTTAAAGGGAAAAGTTAGCAAGTGTAGCATCGTCAAAGTAGATTTTTACCAGCCTATCAGCAGGCTATCTAAGTAAGCGCAAACTATTCTTAAAGGCGTCAAAGCAGCATCAGAATTACACGAATAATTTTGAATATTATATTGCGTCTTTTGTGCATATCATGTAATACTTTAATAAGAATTATTTGCATTTCGAAATAAGTATTATCGGTTACATTATTCAAGAAATAATCTTTTATTGTATGATTTTCTTTTAATTAGTAGAAAACCCGCATTCTCGGTCATTAAAAGCGGGAAGGTTGTTTCTTTCCGGTATCACTAGTCAACCGTGAAAATTTAAACGTAAAATTGATAGTTCAATCAAATGCGATTCAAGCTGTAATATTTCGAAAGCGATTACTCGTGTCTAACATAGATTTTATTGGAAACAGACGAATATATAGATTTCTTTAATAGCTGAGATACAGAATTGCTCGGCGTGCATTTTCTCGGAGCACGGCCGGATGCATTTTTAGCCCACGTCCACCAGGTTTTTCCAATCTTTTCCACATTTTTCTTCCTTCCACTTACCTGTTTCCCTTTTTTTACAGGCAATCCCCTTTTAATTAAATATCGATCTACGCACGAACGGTCAGTGGCGACGCGTCGATTACGACAAATTTCCTCGACTTAAGTCGGAATACCGGATAGAGTTTAAGAACAAAATAATTGCGTGAGATTAGCCGCATTCATTTTAGCCGAAATCATATCGCTTGTTAAACAGGAATCGATAGGGTCGTAACGAAATTTCATGGGCCCCTTCATTACGGTCAGATTATCAATTAACATTCTCGGGAAATTACGGACGAAGGAAAGAACGGATCCCATGAACGGGATCATTATTCTCGGATCCTCATTAGTTCCGTAAATCGTGGCCATTCAGAAATGAGAATACGCACGGAATACGAAAGAAGTTATTTGCAACGTTAATTGCCAACTTTAATAGTGCCTTTCCTTTACGCAAGCTATCTTTGTAATAAACCGTAGGCGAATTTATCGCCAATTAAAATATCCACCTCGCTAAAGAACACTTATGATGAAATAATTATCATAAATACAGTGAAAATAACAATTATAAATAAAATTAATAAACATAATTATTTCAATTTCCGCTTTTTCACTTAACATTATGATTATTACCACCATTTACTGCATGAATAATCTTTCTCTATAAACTTTCTCCGCTTGCAATGTCTCTCGCATTTTTTCCAACGATTCACGAGTAGCCCCGATGGCTTAACAGCAGATTGGATATTCATTTATTGACGCGTTGCTCTTGACCGTTGACGCCCTGATCGATATTTAATCAAAGGCGAATCCTGGAGGAAAAGCGCGGGGACCATGCGAGAAAAGCGCAGGGCGATCGGTCGCATGCATCTCTGCCGACGAGTTCCACTCTCCGGGTGCAACGATAACGCATAGCTTGATATTCAATTCGATACACCGAGTCGATGTATACCTGTTCGCCGCGTAAGAAAATCGGCGTTTGATCCCTATCAAAATATCAGTTTACAATTCCTCCCGGGTGCGAATATCGAGATCGGTCGAAATGGGAATGTAAGCCAAGTTAGCGCGAACGCGATGATGTGGTGTATTCTTTTTCTATAACGTTCCCCGAGAATTTTACCCGTTACTTACTATAGCCCGGCGAAGATAAAGTTGCGAAAGCAACTACGGTTCGCGATTCTTCCGCGCGAGGAGAGTCCAAGGACCGTCGAGATAAGATAATGCAACATTAAGTGCCACCCAAATGCAATAAATGTTCTCTCTGTGCTACGCTTTGCTAAACATTGCTCAATTTAGTAAAATCTTTTGTGCACCTCTCATTAAGGGCTAAA